AAAACTTGCACATTCTCAGCAGGGGAGTCTGTCACACTGGTTTGGAATTAGGTGTGCATCTATCAATGACCTAAAGCTTTGACATTCACTTAAAATAGCCCCTTCTAAGTCTTGATTAGAGGTGTCTTACTGTTATCAATAATTAAGAATAAGTTAACAGCCTTGCTGTTTTACTCATCCCTCTAATGTCTTCCTTTAGTATTAGGCTTTTGAAAGTGCTAGTTCAAACCTCTGGCAATTGCTGGGAGTTGGATCTGTTTCCTGAGAATAATATAAATGGGAGCAATGATGTTCTCACAGTGGAGGGACCTGGCCAAAACAAACTCTTGAAATGCCAAAGCTTGTTCTCTTGCATCCTTATCTTGGTCTTTTAGATGTCCCCGATGGGGAGCATCCATCATACGTCTTAATTGTTTGTTTGCTTCCCTTGAGAAAGCCTTCAAAGAGAACATAAGAGTGAGTTCACGTTTTATACCAAAGCTGAGTCAGCTGCAGTGTGGGATACATGTGTTGTTGATACAAGTCTGCGAGAGCTCACACAGCCATGGCAATGAATGGCAGCTGAGGAGCTGCCCCACTCCTTTCTGTAAACTCTAGATGCCTCCGATGGTACAAGCAAATTAAAAAAGCTGCCTGCTTCTTAGAGAGGTTTGTTTTGATTAACACAGAGTCCATCTGGTACCAGCAAAGTTTACGTTCATGTAAACTGCACGGTATTGAGTTTTACTAGGCCACCTACCCTGCTGTCTTCAATTATCAAACCTCCGAGTGCCCTGATGATGTAATTTGATTTCAGGATGAGCCGTGCTTTTCAGGAAGCTGGAGCTGCCAAATATCTGTCTTGGCCTCTGCTCGAACTGTGCGAGAAAAGTCCCTGCATTATTAAGCATTTCTTGGATTTATTGTTTGTTGTGATTCTGGTTGCTTCAGGGAGTATTCCTGAAAGGCTTTTAAAATATAGCAAGTGGGCAATTACATGCTGATTTGCTTTGTGGGAAAGCTGGCACGAAGCAGGAGTGGAACCTCTGCCCAAATGGGCTCTTTTCACACTCGTTTAACAAACCTGGTGATCTGGATTTCCTCCTCTAATTTTATAATTTCATTATGAAAATCTGGGAGGCCCACACCTTGAAATGTTCGCCTGCTCTGGAGGTAGCATTTTGCTGCGCAAAGCTACCATTGATACAGTTTTCCTACCTAAGTCCCACGTCTTCTCTCATGTCGGAATGAATGTGTGTGTGTGTTTTGGCACGGGGAGCCACATTATGCTGGTTGGGGTGGAGCAGGTGAAAGGGAGCGGTTCCCACGAACAGTGGGATGTTTGGCAGCCTGACGTAGTTGGCCAATGCATGGAAATCTGACCTGTAAATGACTTTACACAAGGCAGCTATTTAAAATGGGTGTAAAAGAGTTAAACTGTTGTAATAGTAATTTCTTTGATTGTCCTAGCTAAAGACAAAATAAAGAGCTTTGGCTGGTCTTAAGGTTGTCTGAACAAAGTTCAATGTAACTTTAGATGTGTTTGCAAGCTGCAATTTTACATGTAAAATGCTACTGCATTTTACATGCTGTGTGTCACTGACATTTAGCAAACATCCTCATCCAGGTCCCGTTTGCAGTTTATTTGATTTTAATACATAAACTGTGTATTGTTCTTCGCCTGCAGCAGACATGAGATGTTTTACTAGTTGCCTTCCTTGCAACAAGTAGTAGCCTCAGTAAGATACTCTGGAAAACTACATGTTTCTTGTAAAGCTTTGATGCATTGAGCATAACCCATACGTTTGTGCTGCTCCCGCAGGTTGATCTGATGGGCAGACAGCTGGATCACCAAGAAATGAACCATGTTCTCTTTCATGGTTTCCAGATAGACTTCAGGGTAGCAGCTTTCTCAAAATGGAAAAGCTTTGCTTCTTAATTAAACTATTGTGGAAAAAAACATCATTTCTTAACTGAAGCTGCAAAGTAGCAAAAGTGTTTGAAGGAAGAATCAGAAAGCTCAGGGCTCTCTGAACTCTCTTGCTTCACCCATTCCCAGTTACCCTTACTTTCATTCTGGTTCCTTCTTGCTTGCTGCCCATCTCCTCTCTAGCACAGAGTGGTGATTTGCAGTTGGTGTCAATGCAGGGGTTTCTTTTTTTCCTGGAGATGTTACTGCTCCGCAACATAAACTGTGAGGGGCCTGTCAGGATTTTCTGAAATGGTTTCAAAAGGCCTGCTTTGCAGTGGTCAGAGCTACCCTGCAATTCGGTGGAGCACCTCAAATTACCTTTCACTTGCAGATAAACTCATGCCTCGAAACGGTTTGGTAGCATGCATGGTGTTACGCTTGCTACAAGGAAGGTGCGAGATGTGGGCAGCATTTTAGTGACTCATAGGCAGACAAAGAGAGTCAAAATCAAGATGTTTAAAGAGTAAGCATTCCTGGAGTGTACTGCCAAGGATGAAGGAGCAACTACTGCCTTCCATTTACTTTCATTTTCTGGCTTTAATTTTCTCCTCAGGCCAGGCTTAAGAGGGAACAGAGAGATGGTAATAATGAGAGTTCCTCTATGCTGCATGGTGGTCTCCAGACCTAGATCAGTGTTTACAAGGCCTGGAAGCACAGATGCGCTTTCCTGAGCCTCAGCAGCCTAAAATGAAGTTTACCCTTCTTGCTGAAGGGCTGCCTTCACAATCAGTGTGTTGTCCCTAGCAGTTGTTCCAGCTGGAACATCTTCAATGCAAACTTGGTCTGTTAAAAGCCAGATCCTCGCCGAGCATGGCAAAGCAGCGGGGTTTGCATGTCCCCACCTCCCACAGGTGCTGCCCTCCGAGCTTGTAGCTTGCCTGACCACGGGTGGCTGTTCTGGAGGGTGGCAAACACGAGTTTTAGGTCACTGGTGTGGGATGATGCAGTTTCTCGGGGATGAAGATGGCAGACTTCTTGACACCGATAAAACTGTTCCTCTGTCTCCAGTTGAAGTCTTGGAGAAAAAGCTGAACTGTTCTGGCTGATCTTTTCCCAAGAATAATTTCACCTAAAGCAAATATTTGTAATGGAAAATTTCTGCACAGTGTTACACTTAGTTAAAACTACAAACGAGTGAAAAGAGGTTCTTGAAAAGAGTCAGGCAGCATGATTAATAGAGGGCTCTCCTCCCTCCACCCATAAAAATATAAACAAAATGCAACCCAACACTTCTGTTCCTGCTGCAAATCACGAGGGGGTTGAGTTTCATAAAAGGTTCCAGTAGGGAACAAAAGACTGGGGTTTGATCCAAACGCTATTAAAGTCGCCAAAAGTCTTTCCTTTTGGCTCTGGTGGGCTTTGGAGAAGGGCCATGATGAACACTTGAAGGCCAACCTGACCTTTCATGGAGAGAGAAAGCTGAAGCCTTGGTTTCATCTCACTTGTACTTGCTGGAGCCTGATTAAAATCAGTGGGAGCTCAAAAAACTTTGCACTTTGTGGAGTTCAGCCCTTGAAGGCTAGTCTGACATTTAAGTTAGATTCGTTGCTTAAATGTCAACATTTGTAAATAAGTAGACACCAAAGACTGGAAGTCATCTGGCTTGCTTTACAGTGTATGGTTTGGTTCCTAAGTTTTAGGCATGACACTTTGGGAAAGTTGTCTGAAGAATGGTTATTTTGTAGAGAGCACCCAGAAGTACTTCTTGTTAAATTCCACTTCTATTTCTTGCAGGCTTTGCCCCTGGTGCTTTTGTCTGCAGTGTAATCTTTCTTCCATCTTGCTGTAGTGACCAGGCTTGCAAACTTCCTAGTATAGTTGAACAAAAAGCCTGATATTAAAGACTCTTGGCAGCATTAGGAAGTGCTGCAATCTTGTTTTTTCAAAGACTTGCAGGGTGGAAGCAATCAGGTGATAGACTGTCTTGAGGAATTTGGAGAGAAAATATGATGCGTTTTATATGCTAGATGTTCATGGGAGAAACGTATGATGCTTTCATGGTTGGAAAGGTAACTTGCATGCAGGTGTTGTGATTCATGCTGCAGTTTTTGTAAATCATTTAAATAGAGTATCCTGATACTAATTGTATGTTACACAGAGAAACCTGCAAATGTTTTCCTTCTGAATTTATTTTGTTTACTTGATATTTATAACTTCTTAAAATTATTTGTCATTTTTTCAATAGTTTTCTGCCTCCTATATGCTTAAAATATTCCTGTTGTTGCTTCTGTATTTCTTTTTGTTTCTCATCACTTTATTACAATGATGAAGCCTCTGTAAGGTTCAATAGAAATGGAACTATCATTGAATTAATGCCATAGGTATGGCATTGTTTGTAATATTAAGAAAGCTCCTTAGAATTTGGCAAGTGCTTGTACTCTATATTAAAATAAATGTGTAGTTTTGGCTCCAGATACAGTTTAATTTTACTCATTGAGAAACAGGAAGGTTCTTAAGAATGCTCCTACAATGATAAGCCACCTGTGTGTTTGTCTCTGTGCAGTTAATTATCATAACAACTTGCCAGCAGACTTGTAGTGAAACTTAAGCATGCAGAATACACTTAAAAAAATGCTTAAAATAAGTTCAGTTCTGCTAGACAGTTATTCCCATCTCTAGTGACTGAGCAGAGAGCTGGCAACAAGGAGTTTTTGCATTTTAATCATGGCCTAAAATTGAATTGCTCTGTTTGGGTGACCTTTTAAAATTTTATCTCGGTGTAGTCTTCTGGGAGTCTGAAGCAAGCAGCCTTAGTGAGACACATGTGAGGGTTTTCTGAGGATTAAGGAGTTAATTGAAAAAAACCCCAAACCAAACCCAGATTTTGATGGGGAAACTGAAATGTATTATAGCATGTATTATTTGAAGTGGTCTCGGTATTTTACTTATGTCATCACGTGGACAGAGCTTTGAAGAGCAAGAGTGATGTGATTACTACTGCACGTTACTTTAGGGTGATTAAAACAATTTCCAGCTATTTTTTTCCAGTTTGAAAAATGAGTTATTGCTTCAAAATATTTCAACAAATATTTGCTTCCTTGTATTTCAGCTACCTGACTGCAAATAACAACCAGAATTTCTTGTATACTGCAAGGCCTTTTTTGAAGAGGGCTGCTTTAGTGATAAGCTACGTAAGTACGAATGGACTTGACTATGTATTTGTGTGTATGTGATGAGAATGAATGTTGCATGGTGGTATCCCAAAAGACTCTGAAAGCTTAGATGGTAGATCTTAATATAAAGTTAGTCTTGGAAAATAGTCTAGAAACCTTCAGCTGGGCAGAGACAAGAATATTGCTGTGTTTTCAGTTCAAATTTTCTTTTCATTTATAGTGGTTGCCCTTACAACCATGTAATCATCTGCAAGTATTTCCTGCCCTAAATACAGGGGGACTGTCCGGCGCTGCGCTGACTTTTCAGTGCCCTGCTGTTAGTTTCAGTGCAGGGCTCGGTAAGAGTCACAAGAAAAGCTCTGCCTGCAAATACCTGCTGCTTGGCGTGCTCCAAGCAGGACTTGACATGTTGCAGGGGAGAAAACAAGCACCTCCATGAGGGTGTGCTGGGTGTGCAACTGCCCGTGCTGCTCTAGGAGCTGGATCGCCGTGCTTGTCCTTTGACAAGTGGTTCCCAGAAAGGTGGAGGAGTGCCAGCCCGCAGAAGTCCTTCCAGGGGTTAGGATTACACACCATGAGAAACACCGATGGAGCTTGTCTTTACACCTATGCCAGCATGAGTGAACGATAATAGCATTTAAGACATCATCAGCCATGTTTTTCCCCTCTGTATTTAGTTAGAGATCAATAGCAAAACTGCAGTCTGAGCTGCAGCAGGGAGACGGATTTGTCCTTCAAAATGCTGCTTTTGTCATGGGTAGCCGAGATATGCCAGTTGCTGTCAGTAATGCACGCATGAAAGGCAGGGGGACACAACAACATAGTGTGCTGTCTATGCTGAGGGTTGACATGTTTGTCACCCTGCATAGGGTGGCAAAATCGAATTTTGCCTAAACCGCTGAGCTGACTCACTTCTAGGCACACAGCAGAGCACGGAGAGCTATCACAACACGGTATTTGCTGGAGGCTTTAGTTGTTCTTAGTAGCCCATTGCTGACCAAGATGTTCTTCTTTGAAGGTGATTCTCGTGTTGTATTTCCGCCTCTGGATAATGGGAGGATCCATGCCGATGTTTTCGGAGCAGGACAATCCAGCTTCATTCTCGCCGTATTTACTGACGAGGTACAATGCCACTAATCAAACAAAAGTTTTCTAAAGTGTATTCTTGACATTATTTTTTCCCTGCACTAAAATGTTTTACAGATGGCAAATGAGAAGACTTGTTTTGTTGTCTTAACTTAATTACATCTTATTGCTCTGTCTAGAATAGAAAGCAACCAGTGTTATTTGAACTCCGAAGCACACTCTGGGTCCTGTAGAGTTATATTACAGATGTTTTCATGCTGAAAAATGTACGCTTATTTTTATGCAAAGCCCAAAGAATATAGTTTAATTGCCTGAGCACAGGACCGGAAAGCCCAGTGACTGAAGCCTAATCCTAAACCTTAAAACTGCCTGCTCCTGAGATGTGGGATGCAAGCATTCAGAGTTTTGGCTTCAGCTGAAGTTTGTATAAAAAAGGGATGACCATGGCTGTTGGTGGAATATCGGTGGCTAATCAGTGAAGGTAGAAGGCAGGACCCTGGTGGCACAGAGTACTGCACAACTCTGGCTAAGCATATGATGGGCTGCCATGAATTAATTAAAAGCAACAAACCTGAAATTTGTGTTAACAGATTTTTTTTTCGTTATTTTATCACTATTTTTTTTCAAAAATATACATAAATGCTTAAATTTGGTAAATTTTAAATGTTTTTTTTCCTTGTCTGGGACTTGGTGTGTGGTTAGGTGGGCTGATACCATATCCCTCTGGCTCTGCTGGGCCAGACCAGCAAGGCAGCGGCAGCTGCGACTTAGCTCTTCCCTCCAGACCTAACCAGACCAGTGCTCCGAGAAGGTGTTAGGAATTTGATTTCCTCCTAAGACAGGGCCATGTGCATAACTGCTCTGGGTAGCTGCTGAACTGGGGAAAGACACTTTGGAGGCTTCTGGAGGAATTTCCTGATGTCTCAAAGGAAAATAGGAACAGTCCTCCTCTGTGTCACTTTCCACCCTTGCTGGCTTCTCATTCCAACAGTAGAATTGCAGCAGAGACACAGGTTAAGATCAAGCATTCCGTATTCAACATCTGCTGTAGAATCGGACTGGATCTCCTTTGGGAGACCTTTATGACAAGATGACAACAGCTCCTATTACCGTCAAGGCTAAAAGTGCTTCCAGGAGGCACGTTGTCTGATTTGGAAAGCTGTGATCTGTTTGCAGTATTTCTGGCAAAGTCATTAATACCGGACTCTGTGTGGCACAGCGTGAAGGATTTGCTGCTATCTCTTTTTGATATGTTTATGGTGAGATGGGGGCCATCAAGTCATAAATGATCCCGGCCTAATTCCAGTTACATATTCTGTGCTGCAAATGTCGTTCATGTGTTTGACTCTTTACATCTTGTAATGACAGGGGAAGTTTTTTTAAAACTAAAAGCTAAGTCATTCTTAGGGTATGAAACAGTGACTATTTTTACCACTGGCACTGTTGATTTTATTAACAGCCTTATGAAAGACAAGTGAGAGAGCTGCTCGCTGAGGTCCTTCCTGGCTTCACCTGCAGTCCAGCAACACCTACCTGCTCCAAACCTAATTAAAGAAACCCTTGCCAGTAGAAAACAGTGGTGTTGTTCTGGAGGGATTCTAAAACCCTGTTGTTATCCCAGCCCTTCCACTTCTGCTGAGCTTGATCTTAATCCTCATTTTAGCCAATATACGCAGAAGCCTGTATCTTTCATCCAGAAAACCCATTCTTTTGGCAAGCCTGGATGCCAGCTGTTATGTGGCTTTCTAATATGCAGAGTTAAATTCTGGTCAGTAATTTCTCTGCTGATCTAGCATCAACTTCCCATGGCTGATGCTCAGGCATGGGTCCTGACAACAGAACCTGAAAAGTAGATTTCTTGCTGAATCCTGGTCAGGGTCCAGTCAGGAGACAGGACTGGAGGCAAGGCTGCAACATTGGTCCAAAGTCTATCTAGGAGAAAGGGTGAGCAGCAGGAGTAAGGACAAGTGAGAACATGTGTCTGTGGGGATGTCCATCCAGGAGAGAAGGAGAGAAAATATCTACAGTACAGGTCTAAGGTTCATCCAGGAGATGGGGCTGAGTGGAAACAGGCTTGTAGAGCAATGGACATCAGGTGTGGGGCCAGGTGAGGCTCATCAGGGCCCTGACAGCCTGTTGCCACAGTCAGTACCTGCCACAGTATCTGCCAGTTTCCCTGCCGTGGATCTTGTTGCTAACCTTCTGTGATAGTCCCTCTCCTCAGTCTCTGGGCACTGTATGATCTAGAAAGAAGCTGGGTCCTGAGCTTGCTTCTGTTGACCTTAACCCTTGTCTTCTGGCTTGAGCCTTCATCTTAGATGTGAGGTACCTGCAGAATATTTCTGTAAATTCTTTTCTGCAATTCTTGTTTCTCTGAACTCAAACCTTAAGCTAACTACTACCTTGAACTTGCAAGAAAACCACCTGAAAGAGACCAAAACCTGGCTGTCCTGATCCCATGCACCACCCTAAGCCTGCAGGATTCACCTGCTGGCATGTTAGGCTTGCTCAGCAACACCTTCTTTCCTGAACCTGGACCCTAACCCTTCACTTCAAAATAGTCAGTGACCTGCTGACTGCCTCAGTGCTAGCTGTAGGTCTAGCTTTACTGCTGGCAGTAGTCTTCATGTTAGACCTGTGGGGTCTACCTACAACAAAAAATTGGAGATGAGAGCTGTTTTTTTATTGCTGTATCTTTCCAGTCTTGTGGACCTATGGGAAGACTAATTACTCAATGCATATGATACCTTAGGGTAAGTTTCTGGACAGCTGGGATGGCAAATTTTTGTCGAATGGGTGAGTGGTCAATCCTGCAAGGTAGACAGAGAGCTGGTGACTGTTTCTGAACTGACAGCCCATGATGCACCCGCTGACCACAGCCCTTATCTTGGCAACAAACCTTTTCCTTCCTCACCTCCTCTTTCAGACTCAAACTATAACTCTCACCTGAGACTTTATCTTGCCATGGTCAGTGCTGAAGCTATTGCTGCAAAACTGACATTGTGCCACTCATCATGAGTGCAGGACTAGGATCTCGGATGAAACCAGCAAGGTTGAGTGGCGTTGGCCTGGTTTCTGGGAAGATCTGTGTCCCTGGCCAGCAGGAAGGCTAGGCTGAGGTGCAGGGCTGGCATTTAGCTTAGGTGCAAGGAAGAGGGAGGCTGAAGAGATAAGATTGTTTTTTAAAGCCTGCTATTTCCACAGAGTGGAAATAAGAAGTGGTGTTAGCTGAGTAAATTGCTTGAGGGTAGATTTGGAGGTGATGCAGCTTGCTGGCCCTGGTAGGTTAGGGTCTAGGACATCAAGGTTTGAGGATATTCAACATCCAAGTAGGTGCTGGTGTGTGTGGTTGCTTGCCCAACTGGTGGATGTCCAGTCGCATGGGAGAGTTTGTGGTTATGGTCTAGCCTTAGAGAAGCTGCTAAGCAACGCGTGTTCCTCAGCTGTGGACTCCTACAGCAGCACCATATGAAGAGTTGGTGTGAGAAGCTTTTAACGAGGTTTTGAAGGCAGTAATTAGGTCACAGGACTGAATTTAAAGCCAGGATGTTGTTTGCAATTTGGGTTGAGTTGGGAGGAAGGGAGTGGAAGAACTAAGTTTGGTATCAAGGCCAGAAGGGAGAAGCCCCATGAAACTAAAAGAAACGCCAGTGTTGGGTGGTGATCTTGAGGTGGTTACTAACACCTTAACTATGGCTGAAGCAAAGGTTAGTGCTCAGGCAATGGGTGAGTTGGTTTGTAACTCTCTGAAGATCATGCAGGGCACAAATGGCCGTTTCTGTTTGCAAACAGTCGTCTTTATTTGCACTGAGCTGGAAACATGGTTATTAGGTATGTCTTGCCAGGGTAAATGTTACGGTTTTCAACAGAGTTGAAAGTTATTGTAAGACATGGCCAACTCTGCAGGGCTAGGAGGAAGGCTGATGACAACAAATGGAATAAAAGAGAAAACAGGAGTTTGGAAATGTATGGCAGTCTTTGAAATGCATAAAATTAGGTCTGGAGTTGGAGTCTTGGCTGACACAGGATGAACCCAAAGGAGTATTGGTAACTCTCACAAGGTTTCTGTGTCAGCTGGTGAGCTGTACAGGTGCGTTTTGTCCCGAGGCTGGCAAGGGTTATTGGAGTGTGACTAAGATTAGGGGTAGGTGTAAGTTATGGGTTTGAAAAAGAGTACTGAGGTCAGATTTTGTCAGCCTTTATGATGCTTGTAGTGTAAATTAGATGACTGATGGTGTGAGAGAGGTCTATGCATCCTTGATTGTGTGGATGAGGGGAGCATATAGAAATTAAGGTGTATGAAATGAATCCAAGAGGAGACAGGTTCAAAGCAAGCCAAGGAGGTGGCTTGTAACAGGTAGTTGAGCTGGGGCGTTCTTTCCTGCAGGATACTGTGTGTGTGCTAAAAGCTCATGCAGGCTCAAAGGGAGATTTGCCAAGTTAAAAAGAAAAATCCAGGCTACTAAATATGCAGAAACCACATCCAACTTGGGGACATCATGCTAGCTAGAAACTGGAAAAGACTATGTTCTTATATGCTTTGCATGGCACAAATTTTTGGTCACTGCTGGAGAAACCATCCTTGTCTTGACAGACCTTTGGTGTGGCCCAGTTTGACCTTAGAACATGACTGTATGTTGTGTAACCTGTCTCTAATCTTGGACAATACAAACATATATTGAAGTAGGCAGATAATGATTTATTTAACCATTGGAAGATGGAATATGCTGAAATAGTGACATTTTTTCAGTCTTAAAAAAACATCTCTTCAGTATGTTCACTAAATTATGGTCCTTAAAATTACAAGTGAATGGGGATGCAAATGAATGCTTTGGAAGTCAGAATATGAATGCTTCAGTCCCTGCAAGGTACTGTATTTTTCTAATATTCCCAAATACCTTAAAACTTACAGTGACATAAATGAAAGCCACATTTCCACATCCTTCAGTGTGTTGCTTGGCAAGGGTGATCAGAGAAGCTGAAATCTGTCCATCATTCCCTTTCTCGGTGGAGGCAGAAAGGAATGTGTTGGGACT